ACTAGCCAATTCTAAATAACTCTACCTCCTCATCTCATCTCCATCGCTTAGCCTGCTTGTGGTTTCTCTTTCGAAAACTAAGTCCTTGTAGAATTTGACATTGACTTCTTAATTCCTTAACTCTGAGTTCTAAAGAAATATCTTCATTTTTTTTAGCTTGATTTCTGTGTGGCATCAACTGCTGATTATCCTTCCTTTTAAAAACTCTTTTTGTCCCTCAGTTTCTACACCACTTCTCTCTTCTGACTGTTCTCCTAATGAACTCTCAGACCAACCCCTTCACCCTTACCAGCTCATTCTCCTCTACTGACCATTTCAGAATTATACCTGTCTTCCTGTCCTCTATCTTATTCTTTTTAAATCTCCCTGTGAAATCTCACTTATGACTCATGTTTCAACTGCTTCCTTATTTGCTTACAAATCTCAAACTGTTTCTAATTCTGTCATGTCTTCTGAATTCCTGCCTATATTTCTGACAGCTCCCAAGCACATCCCACGACATTGCCCAAACACAACTTCTGAGGAGTCTTGAAGTCCTCGGAGAATTTGGTCAAAAGAGTAACCTTCTTAAATTTACATGTGCACAATACTCTGCATGTAATTTCAGGGAGTTCTTGGACTGCCTGAAGTTCATCTGACTTCAGAATTCATGGTCCCCAAATTAACAACTCTTAGAGTAGAATAAACAGGATCAGAACCAGATAACATCATTTGGCAGTAGAGATTTTTCCTATGTTCTACAATCACACAGGCATTGGTTATCAACTTGTTCTAGATAAGACACTCTGTTGTGTTCTGAAACATATAACTTGGGATAGACTATAATTTTATACTCAACTTTCTCTGATTTTGATTCTAATTTTGGAAATATTGTTTTGGCCTATTGGTATCTTCGTTCTTCAAATGGATAGATTTAGAGAGAAATCAAATTTTCTAATGTCCTTTCATTTCAAGGTATCAGAAAAAAATAACTAGTTTCTCTTTAAAATATATACTTCCATATGATTGAATCTAGTAGAGCTCAGCCTGCTTTAAATGTCTGTTTCCCCACATCAGACCTTTGTCATCTGTTTTCTGACATCATGCCTTTGTCCATCCCTACAGTGATGAATTAAAGCAAATACCTGTGCATGAACCACAGTAAGCTGATGCTAGTGTTATGGAATACCAAGCAAGCACAGCATAAAAGTGAACTTCCATCGTTTAGCAGAACTTTCATTTCCAGATAGGAGAGATTTACATCTACCCTAACATCAGTAAGCCAACTACCTCTCTGTTTGACAGTACTCCTCCTTTGCCATTTTCTCACAGGTTTCATTTATTACTGTAAAAACTGTCCCACTCCCTTGGTGCTGGGGATGGAACCCAGGGCCTTGAACATGCTAGGCAAGCACTCTGTCACTGAGCTATGTCCCCAGCCCCAAAGTTCATATTTTTATAATTCAATTTATTCATCTGGTAACCTTCCTCCATCCTTTCTGGCATAGTTTCCTTCCTTCCTAAATTGATTCCATCTTTGGTGACTATACCAACACTGGAAAAGCATGTCAAATGCATCTTCAAATTCAGTGTCTAAGTAGTTTAATCTTCTCATAGCCTAGGAGATCTGAAAGCTTGATTCTTGATATTTCTATGATTCCACAACATTTCAAGCTTTCTCTTTGTCTACATATCCCAAGAAATTCTTAAGAGTAAACCCTTTTCTGATTGGAAAAACAGGGGATTGAGAAAATCTCTCCATTTCAAGCCGCTTGCCTTCACCATAGCATCTGTGGGCAGAACTGCCTGTTTCTCATCAGAATTCAATATGGTACCTGGCCAGAGTCAACATCCCTAAGGACAGTGCAATTGGTTAGGTTGGCATCTTCCTCATTTTCCTGACTATTCTCCTTTATGTTTATCAATTTATTTCTTAACTCTGTTAACCCGGCCAGATCCTCTTCCTCTGTGCCTAATTCTAGACTCTGTCTTCTTTTCAGGTCCTACTTGTATTTCTCATCCATTAAAAAATAATACACACACACACACACACACATATATGTGATATATATATATATATGTGTGTGTGTGTGTCTGTGTGTGTGTAAATTCTTGGCTTGCTTTGGCTTCTATCTGCCAGATCCAGTCAATTAACTAGACATGTTTTATTTTATATTAGTTACAACACAAAATCTAAAACTTAAGGATTCACAAAGTTATTTCCTAATATTTCTTTATTGAAAATCAGTATTCATGAAAAGGTATTAAACTTTTTCCCATTAGAAAACTCCATTTCTATGTAGGTCTGGACAAATCTTACTCCTTATACTGTTAGACAAATGTAACTATCAATATTTATTTCTAGTTTTCTTTTACTTTCTATCATCACACATTTTTTTTTTTAAAGATGTGGTCATGCATCGTCACTGTGTGTCAAGAACGCAGTTGGAACACACACGTGTCACACGCATTCTTTAAGTTTTGTTTGTGGAGGAAAGTTTTAACATGCATTCCCTGCTGGGGGAAGCCGAAGTCAGTGTGCATTTGACCTGGTACCAGTAGGAAGAAGGTGTTAATTACCATGTTGCCACGAGGTTTATGAACTGGCATTAACATCTCAGCAGGAGCAAAGGTGACACAATAGCCACTTCTGAGCAGAGGCAAGAAAAGCATCATTACATGCACACTTATTTTTAGCAGCAAAACCTCATGCTTTTTATTTTAGCGATACTGCACAAGTGTTATTTGTAAAGGCCATTACTCTATTAGTAGCATAACTGTCTTGCCATCTTTATTATCTGTGTAATTAAAACACAAATACTTTACTTCTTGGTGTAGCAATTCAATGAAAGTACTTGGTTAATATGTTAATTCATCTTTTAAATCTATTATAGGCACGCTGCAGTCAGCACTTTGGAGGTTTGGTGAACACAGCTGGATTTTAAGAACACTCCCAGCAGGGTTGAGAAACTAATTGCTCACAGTATTTATTTAAATTATTTAAAAAAATCTTTCCAATAATTGCATATATACTGTTTTTTGAATGCAATAATTACATACTCCAAAGTCAGTCTATTCAAATAAATTACTACTGTATTTTGGCCAATTTTCCTGATAGAATCTGTGCTAAGAGTGTTCTGTTTGGGGAATTTGATTTAGAACCATCAGGGAAGTCTTAATGATAAATCTAAGCATTTTAGGTCAGAGGCTCTGGAAAAGTTTCAGATAATATTATTTTTCAGTGAAAGCCAGTAAGGACTCCATAAATTGTAAAACATTTTAGGAGTCACATACTTGAGATTTAAGTATTAACCGCAGTTTTTTTTTTTTTTTAATGAAACACAGTTCTGACCTGCCTGAATTCTAATGTTAAATGAAAGAAGCAAGGGATTAAAATGATAGGATTACAGGACATGGTTCATGATTGGTTTAAGATGAATGAGCAGCAGTGTTAGTAACTTAGCCTGTGTCAGTTTGGGCCAGATTGCCTGGTATACATCTGTGCATCAGATGAACAAAGGCAAAATTGATTTGCAAATAGGAGTCCATCAGACTGCGATACTTCTGTGAAAAGGGGTGATCATTTGTGGTATCACTATTGAAGGAAAGGAAAAATCACAACTTTAAAATGGAAACCTAGTTGCTGTTAATGTCTGAAAATCTTTCTGGAAAAAAATAAGCTAATTAAAATATGTATAAGCAATGAATTAGTTCCATATGTAGAGACTGTAATATAAATTATTATCAGGACAGTTTTGGCAGAGTTGCACATTCTAACAGAATATTCTCCTATATTATAACATCTTCAGAGCACATATTCACATAAAGTTCTATTTTACTTATGAAAATTGAATGTATAAAAGGTTAATTTCACAAACTTTACAAAGGTAAGTAGTGGAGAATCAAGTATATCACAAAAGCTTTTTGAATAAACTGGAGGTAATTTAGCAAGGAATTATTTGTAGATTTTTTTTTCCACACTAATCTCCAGTACCTCTTTATGGCTTTAGGGCTTTGTGTCCCTAAAAAGATAATAACTGATTTAGAATTAAGTAGGATAAAAGGTGTTTTAAAGACATAATTAATGGAACACAAAATGAAAAATAAGTTCTAACTTAGTTTGACGCAATATTTAGTATAGTAATGAGACTGTCAGTTATTATTTACAATATCAAACTAAGTCAAAAGAAAAAAATGTTTAGGGAACTAAAGAACCTTAAAAATTCTTTCTCTTCAGGCTGGGGATGTATCCCAGTGGTACAGTGCTTGCCTACCACACATGAGGGTCTGAGTTTGATCCAGGACTCAAAAAATAAATATATCTAGTGTCTAATAATGTGAGGAATATCACGATATGAATATAGAATCATAAATTTCTTTTCAAATAAAGAAATATTTTAATATATTTTAATTGTGCTAATTTACCAATGAAATAGTTGTTTCAATTTTTGCTAGTTAAGCATGTATTGTAATTTGAGAAAAAGATGATTATGAGTTTTTGGTATAAGATTGTAACGTGCTTAAGACTCAGGAACATATTCCAACTCTCATTGCTACTCCCCTGCCCTTGACTGTGCTTCTCCTGAAGTCTTGGGCATCCAGCCCACCAGTTTCTACATTATATGCATTCTTCAGATATTGGGTTTTGTATTTAAAATAACCATCAAATAAACAGGCTCTTGTTGTTAGTGAGAAAACACAGTATGTGAACAATGTTAGCATGTGCTTGGTGTTAAATAAGTGCCTGCTATATCTAATAACTCGCCTCTTCCTTATTACAGAATTTTCTTTGCCATGGTATTGGTACACATCATTTAAGGGAACAAGAGGGAAAGGTAGCATCCGTGACTCATTTTGTATGATCACTTTGTTCTAAAGGTTAAGTAGGTTTATATTTTGTTTAATTTAGAGTCTGGCACTATAGTTAGCAAACAGTTGGTATTGCTTGGAATTAGTAGTAATACTTGCATATTTTTTTGCAGTCAAATTCTGATTTTTTTTTTCCTTTTGGTTTCTGAAAGCTGAAAATAGGAAACTTTTTCATGAACTTGAGGTTGAAAAGTGCCTGGTAACCCTTTTGGGTTCTGAAAGTGATGGAACTAAAATTGCTGCTTCCCAAGCTATTTCAGCAATGTCTGAGAATTCAAGCAGCAAAGATTTTTTCAATACTCAGGGTAAGCAAACTGGAAACGAGCATTTTGAACTTTTTTAGATTACCATAGTCTAGAGTAGATAAACATTTTTAAAGTCTCTTTTTGCCTTTCTTTATCCATAGGGATTCCACAGTTAGTTCAGCTGCTCAGAAGTGACAATGAAGAGGTGAGGGAGGCCTCGGCCCTGGCCCTGGCAAACCTGACCACTTGCAATCCTGTCAATGCCAAGTAAGTGCAAAACTGCTGCGGGACCCCTACTTGTCAAGGATATTCCATGATCTAAGTTGTCTTAGTTTTAATATTTTAAGATAGTTACATGTTTTTTTCAGAGAGATCATCTTACATTATTTTTCCTGATCCCTTATGAAAATAGAATCATCAGATTGGCCTGTTTTTCCAAAGATATTATCAAATCTCAGCTATTTCCAAGTTTGTTGGGGAAACATGCTGGGCATTCATTTCAGGCACCAGGCTAACTCTTGTAGATGATTCTGGTGCAAGAAAACGTGGACAGTGCTGGAACTATCAGCACAGACAATGTCCTGGAAACATTTGATAAATCCATAAAAATGTAAAAGATCCATTTTGAAAGAAAAATGTAAGCATTAGAAAAGTATAGAAGCATTTTTAAAAGTCAATTAAGAGGAACATATTATAGACAAATGCCATGAAGAATGTTTGGGGGGCAGGAATGTCCTCTGTATTATGAGCACTGAGGTTTGTGATTTATATTCAACTTAAAAATTAATGATCAGGGCTGGGGATGTAGCTCAGTTGGTAGAATGCTTGCCTCGCATGCACAGGGCCCTGGGTTCAATTCAATCCCCAGCACCACACACACAAAAAATAATAATCATTATCAAAGTAACCCATCAACAAATGAGGAAACTGAGATTCTGCATGCTTACCTAGTTTTCCTGAATGCACATGTTCACCAAATAGCTGAGCTGGAAATTCAACCCAAATGTGTCAAATTGTAAAGTCTCATCTTTCCTCTATAGAATATAAGATTGCCTTAGAAAACAGGAAGAATTTTTTGAAGGCAACTTTCATAAATAAAATAATTATTTGCCCTCCTTACATCTCATTTGCTGTGTGACTTAACTTTCATTTATTATTGTTTTGTGACACGGTGACTAAGATTACCTTCTCCTAACCTGAAATGCATCCTTCTCTTCCCCCATTCAACCTATTTCTCAACCTTTCTTTCCCTTTCTCTACTCCCACACAAATATTTTATAAGGCCTTAATGGAATGACTGAAATTCTAACAAAGCCTGATTTTTTAAAAACAGCAGAAATGTATAGCATCAAAATGAAACTGTGCTCTTTTGTCAGCTACAATCTTTGACATAATAATTTCCTAAATTAAGGGTCCCTATTAGCTCTGTGAAAGCACATAAATTTCTAGAATATTGAGTAGTAGGAAGTAGTAATTTGAAGATAGCATATTCTGTAATTTTTCCAGAATAGTCATGCCACTACCAAAAATCTTACAGTGACACTAAAACACTTCTATCTCTAGTCCACTTAGATTTATATATTATCTAAAATACTTAATAGGCCCCTCGAGTGTATAGGTGCCTTGATTTGATGTGAGTTTGTCTGGCTTATATCACTTCACAGTTTTGTATAAAATCACAGACAATTAGGTTGGTAGGTAGTTCTAAAAGGGCTGGCTTCAGACTTTCTCTTTCAATTTAATTGTCTATGTCACAGATTTTTGTCCTCTGACTTTATGTTCCATTTCTTCAACATAGAAAGGTCAATTAGGACTGAACAGTGACTAACCTCTCTCTCTCTACTATAGTCAACTTTAGTTTTGTAATTTGCTGTTATTCTTGTTAAGTTTTTTTCTCTCGTTAAATTTTAATTGCAGCTTTTTAAACCTATTATATACTGTCCATTCCTTTTTTATTTATTTATTTTCTAGTTTGTAATTGGTAAGGGGTTCCCTGGATGTTAGTTGAGGTCTATAAGAGTTTTTACTTTGAACTTTTTGAGCTAAAAACTACTGAAAATAAATGTTTTTGAGGAGTCAGATTTGACATGTTCTGCCAAAAGCTAAAGACTGGAGTAAAAAGATCCCAGAGGAATGAGCACAGATAAGCCATATTGTCAATCCTTCCAGCAAACCTCCCCAAGTATTAATTACTAAAGCCAGACACAACCTCGGTGACAATACAGATGACTGGTTTGTTTTAATAGAAAATGTTTCTACTCAAATTAAAAAAAAAACAAAAAACAACCTGTTAAGCTCAGCATGGTTGGGTGTTTCCATCCTCCCCTTTAAGAACAGGCTACTGAATCCTCTTCCCCAGCAAGCACCGCAGCTTTGCTGCTAGGGTGCTTGGAACCAGGGTTTCCCAATTGCTTTTCTGTGATATATATAGTAAAGGAAGAAGGTAAAAGCTCAGAGCTAAGTCCTCTGTGTGCATTTGGTAGCTATTTGGGTATCTGATATTCTGTAGCCTAATTTTTAAAAATGTACTTAAGCACTGTATATAGCAGTTGGGGGTATGTTATAGCTTAACTTGTCTCCTAAACGCCCATCTTGAAATGAATTTCTAACTCTTGAACTCAGGGCTGCTTCTAGAATTGGATGTTCATTTCATGAATTGAGCAATCACTGGTGTGTTATAATACATGATATTGGTGTAATCTCCTTTATGTAATGGGTTTGGGCCAAGAAAGTGGTAGGAAAAACTAAACTTTCTAAATTAAAAAAAAACCAGCCAGAGGAAGGAGAAACATACTTTGTGATGTTTCTTTGTGAAATAGACAAATGCTTTTTTTCTTTTAATTAAAATGCTTTTATAATTTAAAAATAGTATTTTATAGTTTGGGAAAATTAATTTGTCATTTAATACATTTGGTCTCACATTTTCAGGCATCTTGATTCTTATGTCAAGAGTGGCATGACAGTGAGCTACGATGAATAAATAGCAGACCGTCCCCACCCCTTTGAGGAAGGTTTTTGACTCTAAAACCTTAACTGGTGCCCAAGGTCTTACCTATTGATGGTATTCTCTGTGAATAAGCCTTCTTATGTCCAGCTTTCTGGACATTTCAAATTTTACTTGTTCCACGACTAAAGCTTTAAAATTTTTGCAATGAATTTGAATTAGCATCTTCTAAAATCCTTCCTCCCACCCTTGTGACTGACCATACAGCTTTGGAGAGGAGGTTCAGGAACATCATTATAAGTGGTCCTCACAATGTTCTCAGGGCCCTTTAAGGACCATGGGACCATGGGCCTCATTCACTAGGTGCAGCTTGTGGGTGGCGTCCCTTGGGGATGCAGGTTGACCCTCTATTGGCAGGCTGTCAGTTGTTAGTTTTCACTGCTGCATGTGTATCTGGTTGGCAGAGCCTCTACTGTCCTCCCAGCCAAGATCCCCTTCAGATCCCTTCCTTTCTGTAAGTTAAAGGCTTGGCCTCCAGGTAACCAGCGGTATCTAATTTTATATAAAAGTCATTAGGGAGAACCTGAACATACTTTGGCTTCTCAGAGGTCCTCTCTGCCCAACCTCCACTAGAGTTCTCATATATGTCATGGATATAGGAAGCTCCCAGGTAGTTGGGTTATGCATAAATAAGATTGTAGTTTAAAAAATTATTATCAGGGGCTGAGATTGTGGCTCAGCAGTGGAGCGCTCACCTAGCACCGGTGTGACCTGGGTTGGATCCTCAGCACCACGTAAAAAATAGGGGCATTATGTTGTGTTCATCTACACCTAAAAAAAAATATTTAAAAATTATTAACAAACACAAATCCCTTTACTTACAAATAAGCTAATATTGTGGAGTAAACATTAAGATATATTCTGGAAGTGCATTCAAATTCCAAGAGTGTTTTTCTGCCCTCTTGCCTGTGATGCTCTTTTCCAGACAGCCTACAGCTCTTTCTCTCACCCCTCCAAGTCACTGTTCCAAGAGTCACCTTGGCAAAGAGGACTACTGTGAACACAGTGTTTAAAATTGCACCACAAACACACATACCAGGGATTGAACCCAGGGACATTTAACCATTGAACCATATCCCCAGGCCTTTTTTTTTATATTTGGAGACAAGATCTTGCTAAGTTGCTAAGGCCTTGCTAAGAGTCTGAGACTGTCTTTGAACTTGAGATCCTTGGGACTGGGATGCAGGGAGCCACTGCACCCTGCTTACATTTATATTCTTAATCCTCCTTTCCTGCTACCTTTTCCTCAGACTTATTATTTCTAACATACTATTTAACTCACCTACTTTGTTATTACTTATTTTCTGTAGCACCATCAGCATCCATATCTTTTTCTATTTAATTCACCACTACATCCCAAACATGTAAAGTAGTGCTCATCCCACAGCAAGTATTTTGGGGAAAATAGGTTTACATAAAAAAATGCAACCAAATGCAAAGAAATAGAGGAAAAAACAGGGAGTCTATTTCAAAGTCTAAGACATCCAGCAATGCCCATGACTTCAAATAATCAGTGTTGTTTTACTGTAATTTGGATCACAAAAAGAACAGTGGGGAAATAGTGGTTTACCTCTAAGAGACTTCTATCAATAGTTTTCATTCTTTATCATCTGCAGAATAAAGGTTTGTGGGGAAAAATATGACAAGACAATGAACAAGAATGAAAAACCTTAATTGAAAGCATTGTAGAGAATGATAACAGTTACGTTCATTTAATAGAAGTGAAAGGAGAAAGTAAAATTATTTTTAAATGAGTAAATTAAGAGTGAGAAGATAAAAACAGTCCCCATCTAAAGGAACAGATGAAAATGGAAACCAAGAAGCAATAATGAGTTTTATATAAACATGTGATCCATTTAGTTAACTTGGACACAGATGTCCTTTCTTGGTACAACATTAATATATTTGACAATGCTCACTGTGTAATACTTTTTGGAATAAAAGCTATTAATTTTTGAAATAGGAAGTATTATTTGGGGCTGAATTTCACGTTGGGTTACCCTGTACACTTCTATCCAATTAATCATATCAAAATTTCATATTATTTATGCAAGTACTGAGAGAATTACTCGTGGTTTACATCCTTCTGAGAAGCCAATCCTTCATATGAGGTATTTTAAACTATTAATTTATAACATCGCTGCCATCTGTTGGAGCTTATCAGAATTAGTTTTTAAAAGTCATTTCAAGAATGAATAGTTTAGTGTTTTTAATTTTCCTTTGCCAGTGTTACTAAATTTGGCCATTAGTAAACTATGACAAG